CTCGCGTCGCAGGACCAGCGGTTGTGGCAGCAGCCCACGTTGCAGTTGGAGTTGGCAGGGACGGAGCACGACGCTAACGCACCATCTTTAAAAATTTTCCCCTCGTTTTCCTGCAGCATAGCCTCAAACTTCCTGACAATAGATGGACTGCCGCACTTCCTGTCCGCAAGAACACAGGGGCTGTGGCACCTTCTCAGAGAAGCCACTGGAGATTCGGGGATGTGGAGTTCGGTATTTAAATTAGGAGTGCTCAGATTCCAGGAGGAGGTGCGAGGAGGGATGGGAGGCACTGCTGTATCAGTTTCCGACTGGCTTGTCTCTGCGTCTCCGTGGCTAACAGGGTTCGATGTCCAGGAGGTCTGCCAGGTGTTACCCGGTGACAAGGTGATCCAGTTTTCTCTCTCCAAGGCCCGGAAGTCATCGTAGATCTGACTGAGATCACAAGGAGGCTCATCGAGCTGCAGGTGGAGTCTCTCACCTCCCACAGGGGGGCACAGCGATTCAGACTGATTCCTGTAAAATATAATTAAAGGGTCACTTTATTCCCATCAACAGGTACAACTTCACTAATTCTTAATTAAAATATGAAAATAAGATTTGACATCAGCCTTATTACAACAGCAGACAGCAAGAGTTTACCTTTTATTTCCACTTTTGTTTCTGATCTCATCCTGGTAGCTGCACAGCTCCTCACTGACACGGGCTATTTCCTTGAGGGCCTGGAAAAAAAAGAAATGTCAGAAAGAAAGAAACTTAAATAAGTTGAATGCTGAGGTTATTTTATTTATTCTTTGCTTATCCAAGACGAGGCGGTGCACACTGCACAGTGACAAATCCTTGCAAGTGGTGCAATGGTGGTGGTGTGTGTGTGTGTGGGGGGGGGGGGGGGGGGTGTGTGTGTGGGGGGGGGGTGCTTGGTGGCCTTGGCCTCCATAGTTTATTCTTCAGCCACCCCAATCATTAGAAGAAACTATACTTTAAAGGAATATAAAAACTAGAGAGCACAGTTTCCTCAAAAGATAGTTGTGGTTGTTTTGCATGTACAGTAGTCCCTCGATACATCACGGTTTGACTTTTGCAGACTCGCTCTTTCGCAGTTTTTCAAAGTAAGATTGAACACGAGGGGGAAAAAAATTGTACAATACACACGATTGTCAACTTTAATATTACTCAAGTGATTGTGACAGTAGTACAGTATAAATATCCTGATGCATGCTCAATAATCCAGGTAGAAAAATCTAAAAAAGTTAAATCTGGTCCTCTGGACATTCAAAAAAACCCAAAACAAAGCAAAACAACAAAAAATGTAGAAACGTTTCGATTTAACTTTTTTAGTACAGTATAAAGTTAACATAAAAATAAAATATTTCGGACGGGTGCCGCTATTTTGTAGTTTTCTCTCAATAAGCCTACACTGTATCCCTGCACATAAGGACTACATTTCCCAAAAGCCAACAGTGCCCCACCCAGAAGTCCTGTTGACTTCTCCTAAAATACGTAGAGGGAAAATTTTGATCTGATCAGAAAAAGTTTGGTGTTTATTACTGTACTGTGACTTCGGCAATCAGCAGATTCAGAGAGCCACACAGAACCCACTGGGAACTGGACCAGAACCGGAGCAGAACCGGACCTCCAGACTCATGGGCGAAACCAAGAGCTGGTAGCCGGTCCACAAGGACTTCCAAGCAGGGGAGGCACTGCCAAAAGTCCGACTACTCTCTGGAGCACACCGGGACTTTTTAAAATCTCTTTATCGGACCGCTCAATCGGACCACCGATCCCGTGCCGGCCACCTGACAGTCCACCCCCCTCCCCCACAAAATGCACTTTGACACTCAAGGGCTGCACAGAACCAGATCAGAACTGAGAGCCATTCTGCTAACTGGTGAGTAAAATTTAGTAGCTGCATATACATTACTGTAAGTATGTTGTTAAAATGACGTGGGTTTAAGAGTTTAGAATATTGCACAAGTGTGGGAAGGGTTTCTAAAGCCTTAAAACATATATAAATACTAAAATAAACATAAAGTCGCTATTTGGCGGATTTTCACTTATTGCGGGGGCGTCCAGAATGTAACCCCCGCAATAAACAAGGGACTACTGTATTGTTGGCGGCAGCCATTTTTGGATTTTGACTTGGCATCCCAGTATTCAACAGTGACCTTTCTCACACCTAGATGCAGCCATGCACCACAATGGAAGTCGTTACCTCACTTACTTTTCAAGTTATGTTCACAACAAGCACGAAAGGAGAGCATTTCCAAATTCCCTTTCGTTGCTCAGCAACAAGGGACACAAAGGAAATGAAGCGTTGCTACAGGCAAACCAAACTACTGTAGTTTAAAACACTCACAGCATTGAGAGCAGTCGTGTTCTTCTTCTTGTCGCTGCCATAACTCAATCGCTTCCAAAAGGAACTGCCCTGAGGACCAACAGGGACGCCTTTTTCACCCCCTTTAGACAAGTGTTCCTGTGTTACTCCACAATAAAAGGCCTCCAGCTCTGTTGTATCCACAGTCTTCTTATTATCAGCATCTGAGTCTCGCTGCCAGATTTCCCTGGACCTAAATTCATCCACAAGCTCAGGTTGTAATCGGTCACCGTGACTGACCTGACCACCAACGTTAAATCCACAAAGACCATCTGCTTGGAAGCAGGAGGAAGGACGAGTATCTCCGTCCCCACTGACGTTTCTGTTGTGGCCCAGTCCAGGCGAAGGCAGGTTTCTGGTTGGTTCTGACTGAGTGCTGCTGAGCAGCTCGGAGCGGGAGTTGTCACTCAGCAGACTGGAGCCGGTGCTGGTGGAACGCAGGCTGAGTCTGTTCACCGCGTTTTCATCCTGCTTCCTGCCGTCCAGCCCGGGCCCTCGTCGACTGGCTCTCACCTCACAACACAGCTAGAAATAGACAAAAATGTGTTTATTATTATTTACACCAGCAAAAAATACATTAAAACAAATGGTACACCTCCGTCGCTGAGGAATTTGAACAGTAAATGTTTGTAGTTTTGTAGATGAATGTTTTTTCTGGACTGGAATTGAACAGAGAATGTAAATAAGCCTTCTTGTTTTTTTATTTTGGTGCAAAATATTCAAGTGGGGAGGAGTTATACTGTGGAGAAGAACAGAGCGAGTATTTTACAGTTTGACTTGTCTTGATGCTGGCGAATGGAGGGAGCAATTTTATCACCACCAGGTGCAAAGGAGGAGCCAGGGGGTGGCCAGTGGTGGCCTTGACCACCATATAGAGTAATCTTTGGACACCCCAATCATTTGAGGAAACATTTTTAAAGCAATATAAAAACTAGAAAGCATAGTTTCCTCAAATGGTTGGGGTGGCCAGTTTACATACACATACGGCGGCAGCCATTTTGGATTGAAATGGCAACCCAGTTTTTCATAGTGAGCTTTCTTACGTCTAGATGTAACCACACACCAACATGGAAGTAACTCAGTAGCTCACTTATTTTTCCAAGTTATCACGTTCACAAGATGAACCAGATGGACAGCTTGCTCCACAGTGTGTGTGTGTGTGTGTGGGGGGGGGGGGGGACAATTAAAACGTAAGCAGCACTCATGCTGGTGCCTGACAGCTTAAGGTAAGAATGTACTGAAATTTTTAAACACAATCATCATTAGTCACAAACTAAGAATCTTTTCAAATAAAACAGAATAGGCTCTGGCCTCCACCATAAACACTTTAGAATAATAACCTTTCTGTATTAACTGGGATAATTTCCCAACAAGTTAACGTCTAGCTGGGCCTTTCATCATGATTTACTGCTCGGTTGTTTTCCTTCGAGTTGTCTCAAAGGAACAAATAAGAGCCACATGTTTTGATTTGTAGCAAACATTTCCAGTGGTTTTACTTTCCAGCTTATGGCTTTTTACATAATAACTTGCACACACAGTAAACAGACAAATACAAAGCAAGTGGTAATAATAAAAATAAAGATAAGACTACTCTTTTGTAGAAATGTCATAGTTTATTCTCTGGTATGGCTTAAGGAAAGATAAGATAAGATGAGATCTTTATTGATACCGCAGGAAATTGTTGTGCCAGAGTTTCAGTACAAAGGAACATACAGAAGGAATCACACAAGCTATAAAAATACCAGCAATTAAGGTCTAAACAGGTCATGTGCAGACAGAAACATTAAAGTGTTTATTGTGGTGCAGGATTCATTTTATTGACCTATTGCCGCGTATGTCTCCTCTCTTCTTTTGTCATGAACAGTTGAATTTGTTTTGAATTATTTCCCAGTTCTGCCAGTTCTTTAGGTCTGTCTTCATAAAGTTTATCCAACTCTTTGGTGTTTGTTTAGTTATAAATAAATGACACTTAAAAACTATATCCCCTCAAACAATTCTACCAAAAATGTATCTTCTATACGTGACCTGATCAGACGCGTCTAAACGTTGAGTTTATTTAATCGTTTGACTTTCACATCATAGACAAGGCTAACTGGGTCACTGTTGGTCCTTTAACAAACATATTTTATTAAAGGAATTTAAAAAATGACTTTCTATTCCATCCAAGTGTCTCTTTGTGCTCCAGGTCATAAACTATCCAAATCGCTGCCAGTCTTTGTGCACAGACTCAGAGATGAGTCACTCCATCCCTGCGCATTGCTTGAAAATGAGTGTTGTTGAACAGAATGTGTTGGAGTGAAATATTAAACCCTGACTCTGTGCATGGGAATGTCAGTCTCGATGTCTTAGGGGTGAAAAATAAAATGGTATTCAAGGTTAAACAGGGGTTTGGAGCATCATACCTCCTCTATTTTCCTCTGCATGTCCTTCAGCTGGTTCTCCCACTCTCTCCTCTCCACGTCAAACCTCTCCAGCAGCTCAGCTTTCTCCCTCAGCCAGTCCCTCTCGCTGTGCTCCAGGCAGAAACGCAAGTCCATGGCTGCTGAATGTGTGTCGGCCAGGATCCTCCGCTGCTCTTCCCTCTCCCTGTGGAGTGTCGAGCTCTCGCTCCTGGCCTCTCGGGGACTGCGTGGTGTCGCCGCTCCTCCGCTCACAAACCCTGACGCTTCTCTGGCCTCCAACTTTAGAGAGGAAGGAGTGCAGAGGGGACAGGGGAGGAGAGAGTGGGAGAAGGATTATTAAAGAACATTCAGCAGACATGCAACTCAGGGAGGGGGAGAAAATGTGGAAAGAGGAATTAGGAGAATGAAGGAGCGGCAGGAAGAGAGATGGAGAAGAGGGGAAACAATGCACCGTGGGGATGAGTGCGAGTGGGTTCATCAGAGGGAAAAGAGATCGGACTGAGAAACCCCCTGTCAGAGCTCACCCTCAGTTCTTTTCTACAGTTCTTCAGTAACACAGGGTACAGAGCAGGAAACAGAGACTCGGGCAGAGCAAAATGTGTCTGCAGATGTGGCCTAACTCGATCAGCTTCCAACAAAAACAAACATCTATAAAAAGATGATCCGGCCACAAAAAGACCAAACCTTGCACTTCTTCCATCGCTAACTTACAGCACTAATCAAAATAAAATAGAATAAAACATCATGATTTTTTTTTTCTATTTTAGGTGTAAAGCTTTACTCTGGAATATAGTGGCCACTAGTTTATATAAAAATTGTGACCTTTAACGCCGGGGTGATTGTAGACTTTGACCTTTAGGGGTGCTCAGCCCCCAGTGCTGACAATGGCTCTAGGCTTGAACACCGTGGTGACCATTGGTGTCAGAAGCATTCATAATGTGTGTGTGTGTGTGGGGGGGGGGGGGGGGGGTCTAGGGGTCCTCCCCCAGAAAAATTTTAATAAAGTAGATGCATTTCCTGCACTCTGGTGTATTTTAACAGGTTTTTAAACATTTAAATTTACCTCCTATTTTACCTATTGAATCAAGTAAACACTTGATTCAATAACTATTTTAAGAGAGCTCAGCACAACAACAAGAAGCGCTAAGCTAGCGGCGTGCAATGCAGACACTCTACCTAAGATGCTACAGACGTAGCACTCTGCTTTACATTACACAACCTAATAAATGCTTTGTACAAAATCAGTTTAGTGTTAACTGATCATAACAAACAAAGACTAAACTTATGCAACCAGAAGTTACAACATATATCTACATACAAAACACACAAAACAAAGCACAACTAGCTTTAAGCATTAACCTTTAATTTAACCATTAAGCATACAATGTAATTAAGACAAAAAAAATGGAGGCTTTACCTGCAGTTACCTTCATACAGATGAACATGTGGTACTTCCTGTTTATCACTGTTGTATTCAGCTGCTCATGAGGTTGGCCACAGGTCTTAATCATCTTTTACATTTTTCCAGACTCAGTCTAGGTTTTGGAAATGGAATAAACTGTATTCTACTCTATAAAGCAGGGTTATTCAACTAAACTGCTCAGGGGGGCCACAGTTACTGAGAGCAGCAGCTCAGGGACCAGACATCTAGCAATTAAAGTCATTATCAGAATCAGAATCAGCTTTATGGTCATTGCACAGAAGCACAATGAAATTGCATTTCTGAAAGCCATCCAAAGAGAAAAGAAATCAATCAACCTTTATTTAGACAGGTAAATCCCATTGAGCCTCGAGGACTCATTTACAAGAAACACGGATAGACGGAGATGCCTGAGGCCACAGCCTCATGGGAAGCGCTTTTGTTTAGATAAGAAAAGGGAAAAAAACATGAGGAAAGAGTAGAAAAAAATAGAAAGTTGCTGGAGAAACTTTGACGGGGACTGCCATGCTGTGGTTGATTTAAATTCTTGATTTGATAGTAAAAGGTGTTTGGGTTCGCTCTCAGCTACCACTATACCAAATTTCAGCTGAATAGCTCTGAAAATGGATGAGTTATAGTCAGTTTTGTTTTGGCTGAGGTAGCCGTGGCAGCCATCTTGGATCAAAATGACTGCAAAACTTAATCAGTTCTAGACATTTATCTGATGATTACTTTCTGTGAGTTTCAAACAAATCCAACAGTTTCTGTTTTCATCAGGAACCTGTTTGTTGACTCTGTCGTGTGACTTGACAGCAGCAGTTAGTGTGAGGAGTGTTCTCTCAGCGCGTTTTGTTCACATAACATCCAGGAAAATTTGAGATAGTCAACCCTACAAGGCCAATGTGCGGAGCCAGGTTCAGATAGCAACAATTGTTTTGGGTCAGACCGAGCTCTGTTAATTTCCATCTGCCTTGTACAGTCTCGCTAGTACATCTCAATGGCGACTCCAAACAGCTGAATTGGTCACATATGTCGAGTCGAGCTTACATCTTCTCTGAGCTCGATTCCTTATCACCAGCGAGATTCAGGAGCTGCAAGTAGCCTGTGATTCTCAGCAAAAATCCCGTCCAGCTTACGGCTTAGCTCGCACAGCATTTCAGTCTAAGTGTTGACAGCACATTCCTTCACACAGGCCGGGCAGCTTTACAAAGGCCAGAACAGCTGCCGATGTTTTCCAAATTTGTCGATATGCCAGGTAACCACCAACTCCAAAAAGCAGAAATCCTGTTATCATAAATCCAATTATATACACATCTTCAGCGTTCTTCTTCTTGACCGACAAAATGGACAAATACACAAACTTCCACTTCCCCCAGGAATCCATCGTGTATCAGGCTGCTATTGTTCCGTCGGGGCAAGAGGGCTTTCCTTCGCCCTGTCTTCTCGTTGAGAAAATTTGATCAATGAGCGTTACAGACCAGCTGACCAGATCCATAATTTACAATTCAGAAGATATGCAAAAAGAGGCTTTAAAAAGATTCACGGGACAAAGAGCAGAGCAGCGAAGGAGCTGGAGGGAAAAGTGTCCGCCTTCACCGATAGCAAGAAGGAAAAAAAAAGTATTTATTTATGTAAATAAACTAAGTATTGGTCGGCTGTGGCTGAGTGGTTGGAGCAGTCGTCCTCCAGTGCAGGAGTTGGGGGTCCGAATCCACCAGCAATCACATGCCAAAGTGTCCTTGGGCAAGACACTGAACCCCTAAGTTGCCTTTGATGTGTGTCCCATCGGTGTATGAATGTGATGAAGCTCTGATTAGTCTCTTTAGAATGATTTGTTCTATTAGTTTGTAGAGATGTAGAGTGCTGTATGAATGGGTAAATGAGGACACAGATTGTAGTGTAAAGAGCTTTGAGTATTCTGATCAGACAGAAAGGCGTTCTATAAGCACAGTCCATTTAGCATTTATTACAATGATCTGTTACCGTTTAAATTAGTCTATTTTGCTTCATTGAATCAAAAATGCAACAAACTGCCCCAACAAAACTTTTTTGTTTGTTTTGTTTTTCAGGGGCGCTGAGTTAAAATTATGGGGTGCTTGGGCACCCCCAAAAAGAGGCTAAAATCACCACTTTGAACTTTTTGGAAAACTCAAATTGATGTCTTGAATTCTGTGGCAGACATGTTTTCTGCTTTTTAAATGAAAAGGCAAAATGTTGGGCTTGGTATTGGAAGAACCCCAGGACAACGCCTCTGCATGTGCACATATTCCTGTACGTCTCAGTTGTTTTGTGCATACAAGCATGATGGAATGTGTTATTTCTGTGTTGAGCCACAGACACGACCCAAAGTTGCCTCACAAGCCTCGATCCTGGTTCTATTTCGGCCTGTGGCCCGGGGTCGAGCCATTATGGTGCAGGGAAACAACGTCTTCTGTCTGCCTGCGGCTCTTCTCTAAGCTCTCCACAATTAGAGATGGCAGATGATGGATGCTGTCCGCAGACTATTTTAACAAACGGATTTAAACAAACAAGATGTTGAATCAAAAAAAAGCTTTTTCAGTTTTCAACAGAAACTCCAACTGCTCAGCCAGCATGCGTGCTGTTTAAATGGGTATATAAAGGTAACTGTGTCACCAGGGTGAGCTACTATAAATACACAGCCTCGTACAATGTCACATTCCAAGGGGAGGCAGGGAAGAGAGGTAAAGGAAGGGGGGCCAAATGAAAAGTCTCCTAGCTGCCAGCAGCGTTCATAAATCAGGGTTACGCTGAGAAATACTGTACGCCTAGAAATACCGGGCCTGAGCCTCGGCTGGGCCGTCTGAAGTTTCCCTGGTGACAGCCGCCCAGGAAGGATGAGGAAATGACAAAAGTGTTCGCAGTCAAGATTCAGCCACGGCCGACCGTTTGAAATGATGCAGGAATTTTAAAACTCAAGATTCAAACAACCATCCAACTCCTAGGATAAACATCAAAGTTCATACTCAATAATCCAGGTAAATAATCTAGCAAAGTTCAGTCATGTCATCTGGATGGTTTCTTTATTTGTTGAGACGTTTTGTCCTTAATCCAAAGGACTTCATCAGTCCGAGGAGCAACAACGCACTTAGTCCCACAAGCAGCACACTCACAACCAGTGGACCAACCAGTTTGTTGATAATAAGATGGTTTCTGGGACCCACCCTCTCCCCCATTGACTCCACTGTGGCAGCCATAGCCAAAGTGCTTCAAAACATCAAAGTTCATGCTCAATAATCCAGGTAAATAGTTCAACAATGTTCAGTCAGGTCATCTGGACCTGTTGTAATAGGATAAAGTTTACACTGAGATTTTTGTTTGGTTTTTAATCAGAATTCTATATAATTTAAATAGCTCCATTTTAACCTTTAATCTCAATCCCCTTAATCTGAACTGGATCAAGATTCAAACTTGTAATAAAGAGCGCAACGACAAGCTAGATTCAGAATGTTACACGAGTACGGCGCATTATACATCCGTCCACAAATTAATGACAGGACAAGACCTTATATAACCTTTGACCTTGAGTTGTAACCTCGATTTGGGAGCTGCATGTTGAAAAGATTATGCAACACGTCATCTAGTGATGAAAGCTTAAAGTTTCATTAAGTTATCTTGAGTGGATCAGAAGTTATTGGTCCGACTGGGACTATAACGTAATATTATGTCAGTCTTTTGACGGGTGTATTATTATAATAATAATCAGAAGAATATGCTACATATGCACATGTAGCATGATGACGTCTCACAGCATATATTGTAATACCAAGTCGACTAACATGTAATTCAAAACCCCACAAAACGTAGTAATTTAGTCTTTAAACTGCAATAATAAATAAAA